GTGGATACTTGAAAACATAGAATCGGATATTGTTAATCAATATATCGATTACCCTACTGCCTGGGATTTGTGGAAGGGGATCGAAGCCACGTACAGCTCCGGAAAAGATCCCCTCCAAATCTACGACCTGATGGTTAAGGCCAGCGAAATCAAACAAGGTGAACAGCCGTTGGAGAAAATTTACAGCCAACTACAAGCTGTTTGGAAGGAAATCGACAGACGTCGACCCAACCCGATGAAATGCCTAGAGGATATGACGATTTTCACACAGATTCAACAACAAAATCGTCTATATCAATTTTTACAGGCAATAAACAATGAATTTGATGCTGAAAAAAGAGATATACTCAAAACAGAGCCTCTTCCATCAATTGAAGAGGCGTACGCCCAAATTCGAAGGGAGGCAGCAAGAAAAGGAATAATGAAAGGAAAAGGGCCATCATCGGGAGAATCTCCCTCAGGAATTGGCGGTGGCCTAGCGGCTACACGCGCGGCGGTGCGATCAGATTTTCGCCAATCATCATCTCGCATCTATGAGGACAAATCGCATCTCAAGTGTACCTTCTGTGGTGGGATTAAGCATATGGCCGAAGGATGCTTCAAGAAAATTGGCTACCCTGAGTGGTGGCCGGATAGCCGGAAGAGAGGAAAAAAGCCACCGTCGCCGCCTGGAGTCGCTGGGGCAGTGGTGGGCAATCCGGAGACCACCAACACCACCACCGACCAGAAACCATCTCAATTTGGATGGAAGGGAACCACCAGCAACTTCGCCAGAGTTGCCATGGAAGAAACGAAAGAAGGAAGGAGAGAGGAAAGCTGCGCAGAAGAGAGAGGCGCAGGAGAGAAAGTGACGGCGGGTAGGGTTACGGAAGAAGGGAAGGGGTTTTTAATATTAAAACCTCTCCCTAGCCCATCAAACAGGCCCAATACAAACCCAATTAAAAATACCCAATGGATTTTTTATTGTGGGGCAACTGATACAATGTCCTTTGACCGTTCCGATTTTAATTCCTTAAATTGGTCTAAGAAAACCCATATTCAAACGGCCAATGGGGATTATTCTCGTGTCGAGGGCACCGGTCCAATATCTATATCGACATCTATCCGACTCGATAATTGCCTCTATGTTCCCACATTGTCTCATAAATTGTTGTCAATAAGCCATGTCACCAAACAGTTAAATTGCATGGTCCTAATGCAACCCACTTTTTGCTTATTACAGGATATTCGGACGGGGAAGATCATTGGGCGTGGTTCTGAGCGTAATGGACTGCACTATGTTGATGAAGTTGATTACTACGGAACGGCTATGCTTGCTCATGGGACAGTGGACAGGCAGGCATGGCTGTGGCACCGTCGTTTGGGGCATCCATCTTGGGGGTATCTCAAAATTCTCTTTCCAAAATTATTCAACAAATCATGTCAGTTTCACTGCAACAGTTGTATTCTAGCCAAAAGTCATAAACATTCCTATCCGTTAAATAACACAGTTGCATCACAACCTTTCTCATTAATCCATTCTGATGTGTGGGGTCCATCTCCAGAACCGAGTCCAAATGGGTATCAATATTTTTTATTGTTTGTTGATGACTGTACCCGTATGGCTTGGGTGTACTTTCTTAAACACAAATCTGAAGTTTTTGAAAAGTTCACCTCATTTTACAAATTGGTCAACACACAATACCAAAAACATATCTGTATTCTTCGATCTGATAATGGAGGAGAATACATAAATCATCCCATGGAAAATTTCTGTAAGGAAAAAGGTCTTATCCATCAAACCACTTGTCCTGATACTCCTCAACAAAATGGCGTTGCTGAACGTAAGAATCGGATCATACTTGAAATCACTAGGGCTCTTATGATTGAGTCAAATGTTCCGATTTATTACTGGCCCGAAGCAATTGCAACCACCATTTACCTCATAAATCGTCTTCCAACAAAAATCCTAAATCATAAAACACCCATTGATACACTCGCAAAATTTTCCACCGTTCCTACCTTCTTGACCCTCACTCCTCGTGTGTTTGGTTGCACTGTATATGTACATATTCCAAAAGCCAAACGAACAAAATTTGATCCTTGTGCTGTCCGATGTGTCTTTGTTGGGTATGGGGTTCACAAAAAGGGATACAGGTGTTATGATCCTATTTCTCGTCGGATGTACACGACAATGGATTGTAATTTTTTGGAAACTGAGTACTATTTCCAAAACCACTCTAGTAGTCAGGGGGAGAAAAT